AGAGAGGTTCACCACAGTAAAGTGAAGATGCGTACTGCGCCACGCCTCATCATAGTGGGCTCAACTCGAATACCAATTGCATCCCCGCGGTTTTCCACTGGTTCGATGATCCAGTAAATTGCTTTATTGTGTTAGATTTAGACACGGGAACGTTAGCTTACATAAGAGTTAACACCTTTCTTTTCTTTCGAGTAAAATTCGGTTTGACAGTTGTGGCTAGTGACTTGAATTCATGAGCAGGATCTGGATAGCGCTGTGACAGCTATGTCGATTGCATATGCTTGGTGCCGAACTTAGAGGTTGGGTATTGCTTGCTGCGTTTGTATCAAAGCGCCCGATGTGTGTTACCCGGCTCTAAGCTGTCGGTGTTGTGACCGACTCGTTAAGTGTAGCTTCTAGTAATGGGTTGAAAACCTTCACGCCGATTGTGGCTTGACCACTTAAAGGTACTTGTCGGACTATTTGGCTTAGCTACCGTGAGGCTGCCGGTAAAGACTGACTACACCGCTATTTAGAGACAGAGCCCAGAAGTGGTTGTTGGGAACAAAATTAATGTTATTAGGTGATACTAGCAAATTGCTGAAACTCGCCATCTTGTTGACCGTTTCAGTCAAGATTTCACACTTTTTCCTAGGCATTATTATACTGGTGACAATTGGAATGTCACTACATATTCGGCTAAAATAAAACGCATCAGTTAGACGGCTTTCCACTGTTTATTCTAGTTGACTTACACCACCGCAATTTAGGGTGGGGCGCAAGGTCGACTAAATGGAATCATGTTCAGCGACGGCTGTTGTTGCACTCGAACACAACACCTGTCCGAGCACGTCAGTTAGTAAGTGCGTGGTTCTCACGTTCTTTGTCCCAGTTGCACGGGCATCTACTCTTATCGTTGGTGCGTTTCATGTGTAGAGAACACGCGCACGCGATTTAGCTGCCTTGTTGATCGACAGTGTGCCCTGTTGGGCTAAGCTAATTACTTTGGCTTGTATTAGGTGGATGTCTGCGGCTAAGTGTCGATGCCGATCGCACACAATCGAAAGTAGTAAGTTGTGTGGTGGCATTTTTAGAAATGGTCCGTTTGGAGTATTAACAAGATCACTAAGAATCGTGGAGAATCTTTATCCAGTGCAGGTTTTCAGCAACGAGAGTAGTTAAAACAGTTGCATTTCTAGATGGGAGAACGAAGCGTGCGAAAACAGCTTGAATTACTTAAATCACGATCTCTAGGGAACAATTCCGCAAACATGTGCCAAACGGATATGGGAACTAAATCTGTTTTGAATGAGAGTTTGACGGCTGCACTAGATGAAGAGGGAGCTGCGTAAGTCTGTGACAGTGTAGAGTACTTTTACTATGTGACCACAAGGCAAATCGTTTAGTTATGCTGTTTCTGGTACCTTCATTCGAATTTCGGTTGACAGCTTGTTACGTAGATTAGCCTGGTTCTCTGGTGGAGTCTGTAAGGTCAACTCAGCTTGTAAATGCAGCTTCCGCAACCTAGGACCATATTACTTTTAATTTGTTGACGCAGGAATCCTTATCAACGCTGTAGCAATGATATTTTCTGGAGAGACTGTCTCACGAAGTTATCTCCATTGCTCTCTGCCATGTGCCTGAGCATCTTCTGGAGAAAAGAATTAAGAGGTGACGATACCGTAAACTATGACGATTTGTGATCGTTTTTTCGACTTCCCTCTTAGTTGTTCATATCCTTCTAATTTTCTTTCCACTAAATATCTGGTATTCAGCGCACTGTTTTTTATTGTGATGTCGTATCTCAGACAAAAGAATGGCTTCTGTCTCATCCTTGGAATTGAGCGATACTCGTAGTAAAGGAGTTCCCATAGTGCAGGATGTTTGTGTAACGTGCGATATGTTCCAGTTTTGTGGGGTCAGCAAGGACACCGATCGTACTACAGCTGGAATCCCCTTGCTTACGATCGTCCGTCAGTGTACCGTGTAAGGCATCGTATTTGCCTTGAAGAACGTTAGTGCGCACAATGACTTATGCAACACTGTTGCACTCTGTAGATTTGTGGGCAAAACTGGTGATAGCAATCCATGCTGCGACCTTTCAGTTCCGCCTATTGGAGTTACAGGGGTTTTCACGGGCTTTTACTTGCCAACAGCCGGTGGGCAAATTGTCTAGCTGTTTTTAACTGTGAACTAGCTGTAGTGCTGGGTCTCAACTTCGGTAACTGCATTACTGGTTGGTACATTATTGGATGAAGTAGAGGTATCCAAGCTGTTAACAACCCGTCTACTTAGGGAGTGAACTCAGTTGGAAGAGTTGGAGATTAAGACCCGCAGTTGGGGTTGGGGCGCCTGTTCCTCATCTTTAGCCTAAATGGGGAACAGATAGTTGTACGCTAATATGAAACCCTAGTTTTGCTTACTTACACAGATTTATCCCTGGCGTTCACCGGTTGCTTAGCTGCTTCCGTCAGCTTTTCACACCTTTTGTTAGAATGATTAAACAACTAACAATCGGGATGGAGTTGCACTTCGGACAGCATCAAAACGCCTCCGTTTTGCTACTGCAATGCCCAGTTTCAAGTGGACTAATGCCTTTATATTTTGTATAAATGCTTTGGAGCAGTTAGAGCACACTTATCCCACATTGATTAATCTAGCACAGAAACCAAATTTGCCCTTCGGGTGGGTCATGTACATTGACGACACGCACATTTGTGGTCTCGCGCAGGTTGTTTGGTCAAGCAGCCGTTCACCTTTCCAAAGCTCACGATGATCACGTTTAGCGCATGCGTAATCGCTTGGTATAACTATATGGTAAGGTAAACAAGCTCACTTTGTTGGTTGGCACTTCGGTGGATGCCACCTCTGGCTTTGCAGGAGTCATTTTCTGAACTGAATGCTAAGGAATACACAGGCAGCATAAGGGAGCACAAAATCCCTTACAGCCGTCTTGAGAAACATCGTATAGGAAGGAGCTTAAGATTATTGGAATGCCACGGAAAGTCTGCCTTACACGACCTTACACAACTGAGGCTTGGGCTAAAAATCGACACACTAACAAACGCATCTTTGAGCAGGAGAGCAGATTTAATTTACTCTTATTGCTGAAATCCTAAATCGTGGAAGATTATTCCACGTAGGATTGCTCAGTGAACAGTGCTAGTAACCGATTCGAATGGGCGTATGTTGATAACGCTAAGAGAAGCCAGGGAGAAGAAAACTTTAAACGTTGAAGAGCAGTATGTACGCGTCTGTAGGCTGAGATCAGATCAATATCGACTTTTATTTACTTTCAGCCATAATTTGCCTCGGAACCAGTAGTTATAATCCAGATGAGCGTGGGTTTTAATAACAGCAATAGAAGTTGTCTGTAGTAAAATGGTCTGACGGTAAAAGTGACACTGCGATGCAGTGAAATTGTAACGGGTTCAAAGAGCTGAATTATTTGGTAGCACCTGTCACAGACTTTAAAAGTAGTACACAGGTCGAAAATAATGAATCTTAAACTATAAAGCGCCGAATAATTTATCCACGTGATTCCAATACTCCTGTTCTCGGATTTCGCTATTGGTAAACAAGCAACGACTTTTGAGTTGTCCGCCGGAACCTGCAGCAGTCGGCAGATTTTTTCTAGTCTGTTTGAAGATGTTGTGTAAAATGCCAACTAAAACTATTATTTTATTGTGCGCTTAAGGTGTGTTTGCAGTATGGTGCTACATGTGTTGAAATATTTCGCTGACTCAACACATGCCACAAGCGTGAACATCGTTCCATGTTTGGATCTAAGCATTGTTACATCGTGTGGACTCCCGCATCTTTCCCTAGATAGCCATGCATTGTTCGGTGTCAAATGTTTAACTGATACTCGGGACCAATGTGCACTTCGGCTATCCGTTCTCGTCTTGTCACTTATCAGCCTTCGCTTCATGTGTGGGGAACGGTACCTACCGGAAATGAAACCAATATATTTGGCTTAAACCAAGCAATCTCGGCACATTGGTGATACAGTTCTGCACAAGTTTCACCAATACAAGCCGATACTTAATTGCCCTTAATTTATGTACCGTTACTTATACCTCAGGGAATGGATTGTCGGGCAACCTAAATCGAATATGTAGCTCCTATTCAGATATCCAAAACTAGCTCATGAGTTGTCCGTTCCATTTTTGAGTCAAAATATCTCTCTGTGTTTCCAAATGGGTGATTAGATCCACAGAGGACGAAATTTAAACTTTACCAACCTTTAAATGATTCACAACCAAATTCATTGCTGTATTTGAAAAGATACTCAACAAAGTAGTGAAAATTCAAGGAAGGCTACTGAGATTGTAGGGAAGAAGAAGCGCTATACCTTTTGGTTTCAGGAAACTCCCTGTAATCCAAGACAACACTGTTAATAAATAACTTGCCGTTTACATCGCTATGAGGATATACAACGAGTCAGTTACGCCGCGCAAGCGTCAACGGTGAGCTTGTTAGTCCATCACATAACCCTCATAACATCGCCCTCCTTATTTACTGAGCACCAACCAGAAGTGTGCAACTGCAATCAAATTATAGCTTAAAGAACGGGTATTTCAGATTATCCTTCGCCCTCATATTGGTGTTCCATGGCTGAGGATAGAACAAGGTCTCTACAGGCTTCATCTTTTGACGGCAAATTAGTGTCACGTGGTGAGCGGGTCGAGCTGTACAAAAACCACATTACTTAATAGCATTAACTACCAAAAGTACAAATAAAGAGTGGCCACATACTTCAGAATCTTCCAAAGCTAGCACTTGGAACCGATTTGTTCAAAAACAAAGTAGTTGGGTTTTACATGTCTACATGTAAAGTGCATGGTGGGAGTGTGCAGCACTTTGATCATACGGAGTGACAATAGTTCGAAAAACTTATATCGAAAGCTATCAAACCGGAATAAACGGCGAACCATCTCGATTTACATGGAAACTGTACTGTGGAGAGTTCTCACTAATAGTTGATATTTAATTACCGTTAATATTCAGTGCTAACCTACCTATCTCTCCAATCCGGCTGTATTTTGTAAGATCCTCCAGAAATCGTCGATGTTCGGCAATCATGCCCTCCCGGTTAGAAAGAAAAAATTGTTGATCCTCTGTATGGGTGGAAGACGATCAGAAATAATTTCATGCTTAGATAAAACTTAAGAAGAAAGTACATACTCAATATTCGAAACAGGAAAACAGAACCACTTCTCGACAAAAAAATCGAAATTCAGGGAATACTCACATTATCATCAGCCGTTAAAAACGGTTCATGGATTGCCTAGGTTGCTTGAAGTAGAAGTTTAAATGGGACCTGATTGAGTAACAGATGACAGACTGGAGTACACAAAATGGCTAAAACAATGATTTATGCATTTTAACTCAAGCCATTTTGCTCGTTATGTTAATTGGAGGCCACAGCCTAAGGACTTGATCCGGTTTGGGCTGGGTCATACAGGAGCTAATGGTAGGAAATGAGAAGTGGGTCAGGCACCCCAATCAGCTGAGGCCGAATCACGGCAAGACTCAAGTCCCCCAAAACCTCCATCCCTACGATGGGATATCCTGCTAGACACCTTCTGTTTGGAAGACGAAGCTGATCAATTACGTGGATCGCATACTAAGAAGCAAACAGCAGATGACGGACAATGCAGACCGACTCGAATGCGGGGAAGACCACCAGGGCCAAAGGCGAATGTTATAAACAAAGTTGTGTTCGAACAACACGCAAGCAGACTCAATTCGAAAAGGGAGACAATCGAAGGCCTTACTCCATGATCGTGATACGGTTTCGATACATCCGTTTGGATGACACGCTTTAAAACCCGACCGAGGGAGGCATCGCTGAGTCACACCGGAAGATGATGAAGTCAGATCGCCACCATCGTACAGGTTGCTATGATGGGGACGTTATCGTACCTATAGCCAACTAGTTAAAGCAGCCAGCAAAGTCAAATCTGCCCAGACAAAAGATGTGCTTCACCTTAGTGACAGACCGGCGAAGTAAGAACATGAGATCCATAAACTTAACCGTGTTCTCTCCCTAATGCACTTCAGTCTAGCAGGCTTCGGTGTTCTGTGTTCGTCCCCGGCTTGGTTGGAGCCCAGAGAGCAGAGGCGAGAGCAGCATGATAACCTATGTATATGTCACATAACTGTGGCATTTTATTGGTTGGGTACTTCGATTCTAAAATCTTTTCTTTCAACTAGAAGCGCAATGCTTATGTTGCTCCTCCGGATACTTGGAGACGATAACTAGTTTCTTCAATTTTAGGATAACCACCGCCTTCAACGAAAAGAAGTTGCTTTTGTGTTTTCTGCAGAGACGTGGTCTTAAGCATACTCACACAACATCTAACACACAATTATTTCCTGTTAAACGTATACTGTCAAGATTTCTATTGTCATTATCACCTCAATCAAAATGCTCTACAAGTGGTACCTGAGGGCAGGGTGGGAGTACGGGGTAATAGAGGAAGAAGCTAAACTTCAACGTGTTGCTCCAACCAGTGCAAACTTGCTATCCCTAATCGTTACCATGCGACGATTATCAGCATTCAGTTGAGGCAATGTACTGACTAATATCTATATTGTTTAATATCAGACATGCATTATCTAAGTAATCCAGGTTCTGAGCACACGGCCCAGTTACTGACGCCCAGTGTCCATTTAAGAAGTAAGCAGCCTGCGTTATTCATTGGAATCAGACTGCCGTAAATGTAAAGTAACCCGTCATATATGATTTAAATCAAGGGCAATTATTATGAGTAACTGTGTTTTAAACAACGTTTCACTGGAAACAAGATACATTTTGGTCAACCAAAGGGAACGGAAACGGCGTGTAAAGGTTCCTGGATGAACCAAAGTTGAAAACGACTAGTTTAAACCAGTATCGTTGTTTATTGCCAGAGGCGGCATTCAACGCTGTTCGTGTATATGCCTCCTTTTTAGTTAACCATACCCAAAGTTGAAAATGGTAATTAAAAGTATTTGATTGAATTTGTTTTGGTTCCTTTAAAATGGTAAAACAATCGGTTTGGCATTTCGATAGCGACTTTACCATTTACCAGGAAGATAAGGACACTGTTAAAAATTTCGTACCAAAATCTTGGGTAGATGTATTGAGATGAATTTAACCAAATTTAAGCGAAAACGAGACAACGCTCACACAAACTTGGTCTTTACTTTGCGCAAAGGCAAACAATTCTTCAGTTAGTAGAAGGATGGATTTAAGAAATGTTGCAGGCGTTCTTGCTACAAGCAACTTGATCTGAGACGATAGAATGTAGTAGAGGACCCTTTTTCCTAATATTATCATACTGGCCGTTAATGAATGTTCCCAAAATCCTGCCTTTTTGTCGTGCACTTGGTAGCATTTTAGCAAGCCCTTTTTGAATACAATCTTTTGCTCCATGCATCCAGCGCTGGGAACAGGTTTAAGTTGGCTCAAAACGACCTGGCGAATGGTTAAAAGAGAGCAACACATGTATCCAAAACTGCACTGTTTGCTGTGCCCAAACATCGATTTGCCTTTACATCGTCCTTCTCACCATTAGATTAAAGTTATATCTTCGTTTTAATAACCTTTTGGGTATGTGGTTCCGCTGTCCAGGATCAGCAGCAGCCAGTTATAAACGTGCGCTATACAGCATAAGTGTGATAAAAATCTCCTTAATGTTGATCACAGAAATCCTGTCCATTTTTTCAGAACATAAAATCACGACATACCTTGATCATGTGTAACCTGTAGGAAGGCGTCCATCGCCTGAAGAGAAATCGACTGAGCTGCACTGGCTCCGACTGTTTGCAGCCGCAGCCATTTGGACCCACTTCCTAATGTAGAAAATGTTATCAGCGAGCAGGTGAACCTGGGTTCGGGGAACGGATTTGTTCACTTTTAGTAAGTGGTACACCTTCGTAAATTAAACCTTGTCCATTCGTTCTGCCTGACCAACTGCAGAGTTTGTAAACAGGACATGGTAATTAAAAAGTAAGCATTAAAAGTTTTTGGGAGTACAACAGTGAGAATTTGGGATAAGAGGGCTGAACAAATTGAACAAATTGTTACCAAAGACAAACGGAACAAAAAACAGACTTTGTGGGTGCGGCAAAATCCAACAGCTTAGAGAGGTGCATCATGAGAACACTTACGAAGTAATGAAAATCTCTGATGGTGGAAAATTCCATGTAGTTGATTCAGCTATTTTACTAAAGACCCCAGTAATTAGAAACAGTTTATGTACAACACGCCCTTGTGATCTGTGGTGAAAAAGAAAGCATATCAAAAACGTTTCGCCTATTCTAAGCTTGGACGCTATCGCACGATCGCATAGTTCAAAACAGGTCAGAAGGTAATTTGTGTTGACAAATTTACTACGTTCTGTGGTAACCACACTCTGTTGACTCCATTGCCGAGAATCTAATAAATTCCTCACCACATCAGAGTTCATTACGCACCTCTTCAGCAATTTTACTCCGTACTCAGGACCAAATCTTACTCGCTGAAGGAAAGGAATCATCACTTATGCTTATTACATCCTTAGCTGCATACCTGCCGGACACATTTGTAACGGACGAGAAACTAGCCTGCATATGATTGGTGAAATATGAATAATTAGGTAAATAAGGGGTGCATTTATCGATAAACCGGTGTCCTTTGTAGTAAAGCTCATAAGCAACTTTCCTGCAATCAGAAGAAAAGGTATACTTTTCCTGATGCGAGAAACTGTCTGCAGCGCAACAGATTCATATGTATAAATGCATCCATGCTCTTCATAGACGATTTGTATAAGTGTAACATTGGATATGCGTTTCTAGTAATTAGATACTAATAAACGATTGAGGCTAAAGTTTAGTTTTAAAAATTGATGTTCAGATGTTTTAGGTTCCACCTGGCATGACTCATCGAGGGAATTTTTCCTTATAAAGCTTGTGATTATGGTACATAGATCAAGCTCGTTAGACAGTCTGTCTAAATTTTGCCACATTGGCAGGTGACCAGAGTGTAATTGGTAGTTTATTCTCCATCACTTTCTCTCTCTCTCTCCATATATATATACATTTATATATATATATATATGTATCTATATATATACGGTGAAATATCTTTATTGCGAAGCTGTCGAGCTAGGTTGTAGTTCGGGTGTAGGCAGGTCAAAATAGGTCTTCATGTGCAGCAGGTCGAAAAGCAGCTACCATCGTATCCAATTTGGTTTGAGTTTAAGTTCATTGCAAAGCACTCGATAATTCAACGCGGAGTGCTTAGCAACCTGATGTTAAGTAAATGACCACTACTGCACAGCAATTCTGTCACTCTCATATTGCCCTATATTATGCTGCATTATTCGAGTATGGAGCGGGTGCGTGGAGTAAAAAGCTCAACTCTAGCTTGGGTTGTAAGGATTTTGTTGGATATATTGAACACAGATTGTCTGGCACGTGCTAGTTGGTATTGGGCATGTTCGGAGAAATTGTAAGAGGCTAAATACCTCATTCCAGGATCGCGCGTAGGCAGCTGTGTAGTGAGGTGTTTAATGTTTATTTTGATAGATCCTTCAGGGCTGGAATAGCCGTAAGACACGATGTTTACTTGCTTTGGCGAGAGGTTCAACACCTACGTATGCTACCATAACTCAAGGGAATATGAGTCATTTTGAATGAGAAATAGCGTTCTATGAAGTTCGTCATACCGAAGCTTATAGACAATCTTGATATCGTCAGCAGATAAAATTGGCCCAACATGTTTTACAGATGTTGTGATGTCATTGGTCTACAGCAGATAGAGTGAGGGATCAAACACGCTCCTTGAATGATCCCACTGGCGATGGGGCGTGGAGAAAAGCGACCGTCATCTAAAGTGACTACCTGGTGACCACCAAAGGTCTAATAATAGGTAACTTGGTAGTGGGTCCTGGATCCCAAATGTATCTAAGTTTTGTGGCAACCGATTGTGAGTTGCTCGGGTGAACATCAAGTAACAGAATGACTACTGCTTAGACAAAATCGATCGATTCCGAAATGTGGTTCAGGTAATGCACTTGGCAGGTGGTGAACGATCGCTTGCTTAGCAAACCATGCTGTGAATTATTGCTCAAGCTGAAAATGTCGACATATGTAACCATTCCCTTTCTGACCACTTTTCTACTAATGGAGCGATTAAGGATTGCGGCAGTTTGGTCGGTATATATTAATTTCTTGTGTCGAACCTCGTTTGTGCCTAGTCATAATAAATGTGGTATTCCATTGACCTGGAAAGTGGCTAGATTCCGACGATAGGATAATCATGTTAATCAGAGGCAGTGGTATAACAGCACTGCTAGTTTAATAGTGAATGGTGAAATACCATCAGATCTTAGCTTGGAGGATGGCGTGGTTGACTGGAAAATTCGATGGTTACCGTTGAGCCAGATATCGACTCTGTTTAGGAGATTGGTTAATGTAAGCCGTGTGTACACAAGCATGAGGTCGGCTTCTAGACTCATGAGATTTGCAAAAAATGTCACCAAATGCTTCACAAATTGCAGCTGCGCCATGGAGTAAGTGGCCCTCACTGTCAACGATTTCAGTAATCAGAGTACCACAATCACTGGTTCTACAATGCAGAATTTTGACAAGCTCCTGGCGTCGCAGCTTGTTTATAAGGCTATATGTTCTTTATTATTCGTCGTGCTTACTCTGCATTTTTGAATCGTATGGTAAGTTCGTGCATTTGTAAGATAAGTACATAGTCATAGGTCTTTCCTAATCTTGCAGCTACTTTTCCGGTTTTCTGGCTGATTGACTGTTCGACAGTATCTTTAATAACATGAGGGAAATGAACGCATTGTAGAGCCACGAGGGCTATAGCATAGTGTTTTTCTATAAAGTTGCTCCACAGTGGTGTGAACAGGGGTAGAGGGGAAGAATGCATACCAGTCAGAGAGCCAAATAGAATGATGAATGTATTTCCAGTTTCTCCTCTCGGTTGCACGTCGCAGTGTCAAGGCAACTTTATTAGTCGTTTTGATGTTGAAACTGCGTTGAAACAATTTATGGTCGCTGCCAGGGAGATTGTTAAACACTCTGTCTGTGGGTTGGGTGTCGATAGTGTGAATATCAAGTGAAATACATTGGCGGACCTGCTTTGACTAACAACCAATTGTGCTGAGCCCTCTGCTCTGTTGGATTAAAGATTTGTGGTGTACAAGCTTGACGTTGGATTGGATGACCAGCGTATTATCGGTAAGTCAAAATCACCTGCAATGATCTTATTGCTGTGTGACAACCATGACGCGAATACAAATGAAGAAGCGTTATTGTTGCTACTCACGTTAGGCGCATTCTTTGGGTTGTAGATACAGGTTTGCTATATATATATATATACACAGCTGAGTAAAACATCGCTACACTTACTTTTGTGACACAGGGGGATGACGTGCTCTGTCTTCTCAGTCAGGCTAAACCGGATTGACAATCTGTCTGTTAATCAGACGTGCGTTTAACACATGAAACTTCCAATGCGATTTGCAATGCCTGGCTGCGTTTGATGTGAATCTTGACAACGTGCCTACCTGTCTGGCACCACTCACCTCGATTATACTGGCTGCAGGAGACAATGAATCTTTGCTGGGGGGACGACATGCATCGTCCTCGTAACGGTGCTAGGTTCAAAGAGTGCTCCCATATGTCCAGTGTGCAACAAGCTACGGTTCAGCCACCGCACTATTTAGTTCTGCTAAGCATGCTTTTCTTATTAGGCATGAATGCTTCCGCTCTGATTGTGTGAAAAGTATGGGCCGGCTCCGTTCATGAAACGTGGCTCTCATCCATACGTCTTATAACTTCGAGGTTAAAACTGGATATGGAGCTTATGGGTGGATCTGTGAGTGGCGCAGTCACCCACGGTCACTCTGTAGGCGCAGATGTACATATATATATATATATATGTATTAGTACGGTTTGGATAGCAAAAATGACAGATTCTGCGAAGACAACACACCAAAAATTTGTCTTCCCGATTTCTGTAAAGAATGGTTGATTGCGCATTGCCCCGTTGAGCTCAACTTTTGCATTCGCATCTATCCTTAAGAGGTTATATGATCTAAGTTTATTTGCTGGCCTTACGCTGTTTTGTTTCGGAATTCTTTCGCTTTTGCGCAAAATGATCGGAACCCTACATCTAGGTAGGCTTACTTCCATGGCAACATCCGCAGAGAGGGATTAGTCGGCTTCCATGTCATTAATTGCTTTCCGATATTCCTAAATTGAAACAACTTGTTTTGCACCTAACGCGCAAAAACATTTTACATCAATTATTTCATCTTTGCGCATCTTTCCAATCCACTCTAGAGTGAACTATTTTGGGTTGTATGTAAACCTCGTTGGTACACATGGAACCTTTCTTAGCTCTCTGGATCACTGAGTAACTAGCAGATGCCCTTGCTATCTAAGCAGCTGCTTTAGCTTCCCACAAAAATAGCCGCCCTTGGAACAATTCATTGTAGCATACTAACGGTCCATCCTAAAGTTTGGCTAATTTATCCCATCAATATTTCCCTGTATTTCCAGACAGGTGCCTTCAGTAATTTCAAGCCCCTTGTTAGATTTCGGGATTTGGTTAGTCATGTCGGTGATGACCATTCAAATTACTCGAGTTCCAGCGAAGTCTGTAACTATCTGCGCTTATGAATGACTGGACTACTACCTGTGATTGATTATACAACGATGAGATCGGTTTTGCGAGTGTAGAAAAGCAATATGATCTGTTAAGTAATGAAAGGTCTATGAGCGTATTCCTTTGCTATATACGTGTTAAAGGTTTTTTTCCTAATGCTTGACGAAACATCTGAACAAACGCAGGTTGAATTTAGAGGTACGCGTTTGGACTACTCATCCATCATACCAGTATGTTTGAAAAGTTGCCTTAAATAGGTAAAACATCTGGAGCTACGTAATAGAAAAAAATGTCCATGATCG